GAGGGGATTGTAACCATGGCAATGAAATGATATACGATAGGATGAATGTAAAACTAATGTTCTCCCATGAAAACCATCACATAATTCACAATAAAACTATCACATAATTTCACAAAAAAACTCTACCTCAACTCCTTATGTCCCCTCCCAGTTTTACTTCCCCTGTGGATCCAGCAGTTTCTTCAATAGAGAGGTAAGGCACATGTACCAGGCTCAAGTAGTGGTCTCAGAGAAGACCTGTACTTCCTGTGTGTGTGGGTTTGTTGTTGTGGTGTGTAATCAAGTCAGTTCCAGCTCATAGCAACACTGTATAGGGTTTCTGAGAATGGCTGGTGCTACCTTGCAAATTAGCAATTGAGTGTTTATCCTACAGCACCACACCAGGGCTCTCTATGAGTCCAGTAGTGGTGGTGGTTGTGTGCTGTGAAGTCAGTTAGAACTCATAGTGATCCTGTATAGGGTTTCGGAGGCTGTACATTTTTATGGGAACAGAAAGTCTTCTCTTTTTCCCACAGAGTGGCTGGTGGATTTGAACTGATGACCTTGTGGTTAGCAGTCCAACACATAACCTACGCACCACCAGGGCTCCTTCTCCTTGAGTCTAGAGTGAGCAAAATAGCCTAACCAAGATCTGGCAACAGCATGGAGGGACTGAGAGTTGCACACAGGTCTCTTTACCAGGATACCAAGCCACTCACTGGTTGTGGGACAAAACAAAATTTCTCCTGGCCCTTAGTCTCCCCATCTGTAAAAGTGAGGGAGGTGAAAAAATAATCTGACAACTCTTACAACTTTCACATTCTTGTATCGTAAATAAAGAATTCTATGGGTAATGGAGTCCTGGTGTGGCGCTGTGGGCTAAATCGTCAGACTGCAAAGCCATTTGAACTGCAAGGTCAGTGATTCAAACTCAACAGCTGCTCCTCAGAAACTCGGTACAGGGTGGCTATGGGTAGGAACCGACTCAACGGCCCTTAACAACAACAACAATAACGGGTAATAATAGTAAGGGAGTCAAGGAATTTAAATAAGGGAAGAAGACTGGAGCAGAAGTGTGTGCGGAAGAGAAGCAGGGCAGGGTAGCTTAACTTGATTGACATGGTAGCTAGGAAAATGAAGACTAAACCACAAAAGGAACTTTCTAAAGATCTGAGATGAGAGTTAAAAAGGTCAGAAATGGTAAAGAATTTTCTCTTGATTTTGCACAAATAGGATCTAGAGTCTGGAAGCAGGATAATTCCTAGAATGACCTCTGTAATGCCCTACAGTAAAACTAGGCAAAGTCAGGATTTGAAAAAACTTATTAATTAAAAATTTGAGTAGTGAACGATTACCAGAGTTCAAAAAGTTTAACAAGGTACATAGTGAGAAGTCTCTCACTCCTACCCCCATCCACCCACTCCAAATTGTTATTCATTTCTTATGTATCTCTTCAGAGATTGCTTTCTGCATACACAATCATATGAATAGAAATCTCTTCAAATGGTAGAATACATCCAATTTGCACCTTATTTCTTGACTTTTCCTGGGAGATCTTTCTACACAAAAGAATCAACTTTTTTGTTCATTTGTACATCTAAATAGATTTCTATTGCATGAATATGTCATATTGTACCTAAGTAACCTCTTAAAGATTGACATTTAAATTGTATTAACTTTTCACTATTATAAATGATCCAGCAGTTTCTTCAAGATAGTGGTAAGAGACATATACCATGCTTGGGTATGGTAGGGGTCTTAGAGAAGACCCTTATATGAAATGTAGATTCCAATGATTTCACATGTGTGTAAGTGAATCCCTAGGCTAAACCCCTAGGATAGGATTTGCAAGAGGTGATAGCATCATTTGAAAGATTGATGGGTAATATGGATAGCTATTCCCAACATGACCATCTTAGGGATAGTACCCATTTACATTCCCATCAGCAATGTAGGAGTAAGATCAGGCAACTCCTTGCCATAAAGCATCTCCATCTTCTTCAATCTGGACCTTAACTCAGATCCAGGTGCTTTGCATGGAGTGTGGGGAAGGGGCAGGGTATGGAGAAGCCGTTGAACCCCAGCCCTGCTCACCACCTGTGACCCCAGGTGCAGCATATAACAGCTTCCACCAGGCCCAGGGCTCAGCTTCAGTGTAACCTCAGACCTGTTTACTCTGCACCCCTGTGGCTGCAGCAAAAAGTCCAGTGTTGACTCATCTCTCATAGGTGGGGCCCTTCTGTCATACTTGTTCCTCAGAATAGGACAAACCCAGAGACTCCAAGCCCCATTCATCTGCCCCTAAAGGGGCCCCTGAGGTTCCTAGACACTCCTCCCCAATCCTCTTCTCTCAAATCTACTCCCTTCTTGCCTCAGGGACACATGTCCTGCCATTCACTCCTGCTTCTCTAGGTCTGGTTCTTTCTCTCTAGCCTCTTCTATTTGATTACATCTTTTCTCTTTTTGACTCCTTCACAGTTGCTTTACTTCCTTTTTCCTCTCTGATCTTAGCCAAACAATGTCAGAACGTTTAATTCCTTTTTTTACAAATGGAAACCCAAAGTGGTGACTGACCTACGGTCACACAACAAACAACAAGCAGAGAAGGAATTGAGACAGGTCAGGCCTCTTGGCTTGCTTGGGTCTTCTCCTCCCCTCCAACCCAGGTTCTACCACCACCATCATCATCCAAAGTTGTTTCTTACATCCCCCTTTCCCTTTCCTGCAGGTTTTCTCCAGGCTTCCCTTCTCTCTCCTCTGCGGGTGTCTATTTTCCTGGACTCAGTTCTGACTCCTTTTATTCCCCCATCAGCAGCTGAGAAACAAGAGTTTCGTTCCACTTCATCCAGACCTCCCAAGTCAAGCAGAACCCTCTGCTGCCCACTTAGACAGAGGAAGAGATGGGACTGAGCAACTAACTGGGCCAAGTCTCCAGAAAGTGTGGCAGGCATCTGGTGGTCAAAGTGCTGTCAGGAAGGGATGGTTAAGGTCAAGGCATTGGGAAACAGGAATGACAGCTGAGGAGTAATATTGGGAGAACCCTACCTTGGCATAGTCCTTGGTACAAGGTAGACACTCATATTGATCCCCCATGTTCTTCCCTTCCTTCCATTTTTGGAAACTGATGTAAAGCAAGAGATAGGGTGTGTGTGTGTGTCTAGAACTGGAGGAGGGAGCAGGGACAGGGGGCTTTCAGGAAGTCAGAAAGGAGTTCAGAGCATTTCTGTCTAGAAAGTGTCTGCAGCTCAGAGCCCTCTTCCCCAGAGGTTGGTACCAGATAGGGCCTTGGTTTGTAGGGAGAGGAGGCAGAAGGGCTCTGCCCTGGTACTCACAGGTGCGTGCAGAGCAGCCCTTCCTCCAGTTGCAGCGGCAGCCTGTGTGTTTGGATCTGTATCTGCATCAGGCCTGAGGCTGCAGAGGAGGAAGTGACACACCCTGGGGTGTGGGGAGAGACTGATCTAGGAGAGGTGGTGCTGAGCCAAAAGAGTGACTGTTAGAGGGATCCAAAAGGAAGCCTGAAAGCTCAACAATAGAGATTGTCCTATGTGCTGGTGTATTATAATGTTACAGAGATGTTCTTGCCTCCATTTTTCAAAGGCAGAGACTGAGGCTTAGAGGTTAAACAGTAAAGACTGTAGCCTACAGTCACACAGGTAGGAAGTGGCTGGCCTGAGATTCAGACTCCTAGTGTCCCTGTGTAGGGTTTCCAAGCCTGGAAATCTTTACAGGAGCAGGGAGCTTCACCTTTCTCCCAAGGAAATATGACAGGGAAGGAGAAATACAAAGGCAGTGAGTACTACAGGGAAG